GGTAATAATTCGTTTCGAGATTCGAATAAACTCACAAGCATATGGGAAGTGAAACGGATCATGCCGAGACGTTGGAGGAAGAAATGCAAGAATTTCCAAAGGAACGAGATTATAAGAAAAATCATTTGCAAATGTGGAAACGTGTAGCTCAAGAAATTAGTGTTTATATTAGGATCTGAGAATTTTGGAGCCGGCCAAACACCATTGGAGCTAGGATTGATAGGTATAACATCACATATCATGTTTGCTTCTCTCCATGTGTCTCTCATGTAAAGCATCTTATCATCTCCATACTCCATTGATGAATGTAGACAAGAAAAAATAATCCTCTAACGAAGAAAGAAATTTGTCGGAGGAATTGATGAAGAAACGATTAGAAAGATTCGTTTCTTTTTACAAATTACATATGAAAGTATCAATTTTTTTGGGTACAGTTTGGTTTAACAGAATCTAAGTGGATACAAAATATTCATCTGGGTTTTAAAATCCTAAGAAAAGTAAATCGTGAATGGACAAGAACTAACAAGAAACAGAATTAAAGGGTTTTTCTTCTTTTACTTTTTAGGTTTTTATTACATGTTTAATTTTTTTATAACGGTTTTTTTTACATGCATGTTACAACAAGAAACAAGAATAAAGGGTTTTTCTTCTTTGACTTATAGGTTTCTTACATGTTACAACTTAATATTGCTAATTTACAGGTCTTCTCACCAAACTATAACTGACAATGCCAAAGGTGAAGAAGAAATGAAATCGGAGGTACAACTTTAATTGGAACTAGCCTTCGGAGCTAAATTAATTTAGCCTTTATATGGACTAGAATGACTCCGATTTTTCCAACAAAATAAAATACCTTGGAGTGCATGATTTTGCCTAGAACACGAATCAATAAAGATTTTACTATGATTAAATCCAGAACTGGATCTGAGGGGAGTTTTTTAAAACAATTGAATAGGACCCCCAATCTAGGAAGGGTTCCACTTAAAAAAAAAAGTTATATAGTATTGAAAATAAAGAAAAAGTTTGGGAAGTGGTAACAATATTTTGGTGGATCCTAATCAAAGTAGTAAATATTATACGTTGAAAAATTTGTTCCTCTTCAAGAGTTTTCTCTTTGAGAAAGAGAAGAGCAGAGGCGATATTGCTGGGAAAAA